CTATGAAAATTACTGAAATTCAAATCCAAAATCATGATTTTAGATCTCACTAGGAAATGAATCCTTGATTCATATTTGAATGTGTTTGCATTTCTCTAACTCCACTAATTGGGACACACTTACTAGTTATTGTGATGCAGAGCATATCGATAGATAGGGTCTAGTTATAAATTTAGATGCCTAAAAATGGCATTTACCAAGATAATTTGAGAGAACACAAAAGTAATTAGAAACTTGGAAGATATCTCTCCCACTTATTACAACACATAGAACAGGACCCAAACATAACACACATACATATGCCTTATTTAAATGGAATTATACATAGATAAATGGCAAATTATTTATACGTATAGTACCATAGAACTTAGTGCAGCAATATGGCTAGGGTTCTTCACTGCCTTCCATAAGATGAGCATCAATGTCTTTAGACATCTCAACACAAAACTGAAGCATAGTATGTGAATCAGGGATCTTATCATGTAGCTTTTCATATTCTAAAACCCAATGAATCACACTTCCCTTCTCCTTTGGAATGCATTGGATATTAAACTTGAAACTCTTGTATTTCTCCGTAAGGTCTCCCTCGATCACGGTGAAAGTGATCGAGTTGTTCTCTTCGTCGACTGCTTCAATTCTCTCCTTTGCTACTCTAGCTTTCCCATCTGCTCGTGTAAAAATGTTGTTATTACGAGCATTTGAAAAAGTCATTCTAAACAAATCCTTCCAAGAAAACAGTCGAAAAAGTTAAAAAAAATGATGAACCGTGAAAATATCTCCAGCAAATGATGGAGCCAACTTCACCCCATTCGCCTTCGAGTAGGTCGACTCCGTGCACTTTATCGGTAGAGACATTGGAGATATGGTGGGTTCTTTTGTGAAATATTTCATGGAACTTTGAAGCGGAAGCTCTGATATGTACATCAGTTTCAAGCCTTCCAAAGTGACCCATGGTGGTTTGATTTTGGATTATGAGTGATTAGAAGGAGATCTAAGCCAAGGAAGCTAAGGCACTGCCGAACATGACTCTTCTTGGACTCATTTATAGGGAGGGCTTCACTCTTCTTTCATTATGTCATTGTGAATTAAATCAATGAACGTTTTTAATTATTTCAACCTACAATAATTTTTTGAATAGGTTAGGTTGTCCATATATAGAATAAATCAATAATAAATGGTGTAGATTAAAAAAAATTTCATGCCCAACCACAATGAAACACTCCCAAAATACACTTCGGGACTAAAATAAATCAATCACGATTCTTTTCAACTTTTGAATAACTTTTGAATAAGATGTACAATTAATAGTTATTTTAGGGAAAAAAAATACTAACAATTCTTCATTCGACTAGTTACATATTGCTGTCTGTCTCAATTTTAAAACGTGTCTCGTAGAGAAAGGTTTGCATCCCCTTACAATCCATCCCTCTTGGGGGTTCCACACCCTTACAATCAACCCCGATGTCTAGCTTTGATATTGTGATGTCCCACATCGGTTGGGGAGGAGAACAACACCGGTGTGAAAACCTCTCCCTTGCAGACACATTTTAAAGTCTTGAGGGAAAACCCAAAGAGAACAATAACGACCCAAGCCCACTGTTAGCAGATATTGTTTGCTTTAGCTCGTTCTCTATATCCATCAATCACATAGTTTTAAAACGTGCCTGCTAGAGAGAGGTTTCCCCACCCATATAAGAAATGTTTCGCTCCTCTCTCCAACCGATGTGGGATCTTATACTTAGTTTTAATGTTCGGTTTTGAACAAATCGAACTTATTGTCTCACAAATCAAGGTTCTTTTACGTTTTGTCTTATCACATTACTACAACTCCATGAGAAGTATCTGAAGCACATCGTTGTTCCTTTTTTTCATTGGTTTTTTGACTTTTGTTATTAAATCGGGTTCACAAAACGAACCGTTTTGTCGGAGAGAATCAAAAGGCATTTCAGCTTCAACAAATACGAAACTCAAGATTTAACATCAAAAACAAAAATTTAAATTTCAGAATATGAGATATGATTAGGGATCTTATTGTTTATAATAGTGAATTATTCACACATAATTATATACATTATACTGAAAAGAAGTTATAATAATAAAAGAATGTTTTGAAAATGATATGGGTATGTTTAATTGTTCTTGCTTGCAACCATTTGTAACCGTCTAAGTCCACTGCTAGCAAGCAGATATTGTCTTGTCTTCTTTGGACTTTCCCTTTCACGTTTTTCCTCAAAATTTTTAAAATGCATATGCTAGTGAGATGTTTTTGCATCCTTGTAAAGAATGTTTTGTTCCCCATCTGTAACCGATGTGAGATCAGATAAATAACTTATTTAAAAAAAATGTAAAAGTGGTCAAGATTTTCATTAATACCCAAATCTAAATTATTAGGTTTGAAGCTAAGAATCCATCGATGTACAAGACCAACAAGTCAAAGACAGATCCTACATACAAGAACAACATAGCAAGAATGAGGAGCTTTGTTTATCTTTGTTATCTTATGCACTACAACATTTAAGATGGGACCAAATTGATTAGGACTATTGATGAGGTGGGATTTGTTACATTATTAGAACGATGGGTAGCTTTATTTATTTGAAAATAAATAAAAGACATGCATTATTATGAAATAATAAAGTCATTTTGAAAATAATGATTCATTCATAAATAAAACTAATTTATATTTATATTTCAGATGTTGATGTAATAAATGCATAAATTTAAATAAGATAATGCAAAAGTCTCCATTCAGATGCTTCGCTTCTATAGTCTTTATAGCGATGTTGTCATCGTACATGGACGTCTTACCTTTACCTAAAAAAAAAAAGTAACACGTAGCTTAAGTATCTAAAAATATAAGTAAATAGTTGAGGTTGAAAAATGCAAACACAAGCAATGATGGTGATACGTATCTTTTTATAAGAACATCCTGGCCTTAGCTCTGCTTTCTAGTCTGAACAAGGTTGGATGTATAGTAGTTCTCAGCACATGGTCCATGCATGCACACATGAACCCACCAGGTAGACTCGTATATGTACGCCATGGACTTGGCTAGTCAGACTAGTGCATACTCACGTTGTCAGATGCCACGGAGGGAAAGGGTCCACATAGTTCATGGCGACATAAATATCGTAATGTACATATTCGTACTAAAGAAAGTATCTCGATGTTCATGACATATAAAATGCATAAGGTCACATATCGTCAAAACATGACTTGTGACATGACATAACGTATATCATAACATAAACATAACATATCATCTATTTTATATTATCCCTTATTATATAATGTGTGAGAGTAAGTCTTTATCTTTAAATAAAGGGTAAGAGAGGAGGAAAGTTTGGTAGCATTATAGAAATTAAGGCTCGAGTTAGTTTCATAAAATAATTCATCCAAAACTTCGCCATATATTCAATATCTCTTCAGATAAATTACAAAGTCGTGAGTTACATGAAGGCGAATGGAGCAAAGTTGGTTCTATGATTTATTTCAACTACGTTCATAGTACGTTCATGGTTTGTTTATTTATATTTGATCGGTTCAAAGCTATCAATTTTTATCTTTTATTAGTTACATTATAATTTTCCTATTATAATCTTTAAATTTGTGTATATTTATTTCATGATTGTTTTGAAGATTATGAATCTATTGGATATGAAATAAACAAAATTTTGAAGATATTAGATAATGGTAAAAGTTGAAAAACTAAATAGACAAAAACTTAAAAGTTTAGAGTATCGACCCATGCTAGGATTTAGACTAGGATTCGAAATTTGGATTCGGTATCAGATGATCTCGATGTTCTCTATATTGTCATGCTACTTACTTCTCTCTTCTAAGAGTAAAAATTATCCTCATAAATTAACACGGAGTCCTTCCAGTATATTTTGTCCTCATTTACATGCATCTCACAAAATTTTTCAAAAGGTCACTCAATATAAAATTACTTAATTATGGAGTTCTTATGATTGAGGCACCAAAAAAGAAAGTGCACCTTATTGGTATAAATAGTAATTTTCATTTGATTTAAGTCTAATTTCTTAGTCATCCTATTCTCAAAATCGCTTTTATTTTTTAATGTGGTTTTGGTTCATTCATGTTCCTAACTTTTTTAATCAATATTGCATCTATGTTATATTTAACGAATGTTTCGTGGATTAAACCCGTATAGATGGGAAGGCTTGTTTGGCAAAGAAACTAATTGAAGATGTTAATGAGGAGAACAATTCATTCACTTGGAAAGAGTCAGAGGGAGACCATTTATTGATATCAACAAAGACATTGTTGATATCGCCAAAGACATTGATGCTTACCTCATGGGAGACAATAATGAAGGTTCATTTGTAAGTGCTTACGCATGAGCAACAAGTCTTTCTCTCAACCCATTGCTAGGGTGGTGATATTACTAGTATTTAAAAAAGAAAATCACTTTCAAATCTCAACGTCTAAGCTCAAGTTTGAATTAATAATGTATAACCCTAGCCTTAATTAAGTTTTATAGTGGTTGTTTAATTATATCGTATTATATTCATACGCACGTAACCAAAGTAGTATTATAGCATTAAGAACAACGAGAAAAAGTGATATCCAAATTCGACACCTGATGGATCTGACATACTTACTCTTTGCTTCTAAGAGTGAAGACAATCCCTACAGACCAACCCGAGTTATTTCATCATATGTTATCTTCACTCATACATCTTAGGAAAATGAAAAATTCTCGAGAAGTCACCCAACATAAAATTGCTCAAAGCAAAACATGTTTAATTTTGAAGTTTCTATAATTGAGAACTGAAAAGTAAGGTGCACCTTATTGGTATAAATAGTAACTTTCCATTCTTTTAAGTCTTTATTAGTTATCCTATCTTTAAAATTGCTCTATTAAGTGTGGTTTCAATTCATTTATGTACCTAGCCTTTTAATTTTCTCTAAATTCATACCAAAAAAAAAAAAAAAAAAAATTATAAGATAGGGGATAAAAATGTAAAATCCAATGCTTCCACTATTACATGATATTACATGATGTGTGAGAGTAAGCCTTGCATTTAAATAAAGTGCAATAGAGGAGAGATTCTTGGTAGCAATATCTATCTTTTGTTCTTCTAAGTAACTCAACTTAATGGCTCTCTATGGAAAGCTGGAGAACTGATGTAGAAATGAAGGCTCTAGCCGAAAAATTTCATGAAATAATTCATAAAACGCCTCACCATCTTTCCAATATCTGTCCAGATAAAGTAAAAAGTTGCAGTTATATGAAGGCGAAGAATGGGGCGAAGTTGGCATTATCCTCTATTTGCACTACATTTTTGGTTTGTTCATCTATATTTGATAGGTTGGAAGTTCTCACTTTTTATCTTTTGAGTTAATTTATAATTTTAATCTTTCCCTTCATCAAAATTTTAAAATATTTGAAGTTCTTTTGATCATTGATTTGTTTCTAGTTAAATGTTTTTTTTAATATAAGCTTATAAAACATTATTTCTACTCCTAGTTTTTTTTTTTTTTTTTTTTTTTTTTTTTTTTTTTTTTTGAAATTTTGTTACATAGTACACTTNGTCTTTACAAAATATACTATGAGATCCCACATCGGTTGGGAGGAAACCAAACAGTCTTTATAAGGGTGTGGAAACCTCTCTCTAGTAGAAAATTATGAGGTTGACGATGATACGTAACGGGCCAAAACGGACACTATCTGCTAGCTGTGAGCTTGGGCTATTATCGTTGATATCAGAGTCAGACACCGGACGGTGTGCTTGTGAGGACGTTGGGTGTCACAATCGCCTTTTACAAGCATGACTGTGACACTAGGCCTCGAAAGAGAGTAAATTGTGAGATCCCACCTCGGTTGGCGATGAAAACTAAGCATTATTTACAAGGGTATGAAAATCTCTCTCTGATAGACACATTTTAAAAACATGAGGCTGACGGTGATACCTAACAGGCCAAAACGAACAATATCTGCTAATGGTGGGGCTTGGGATATTGTCGTTTGTATTAGAGCCAGACACCAGACGGTGTGCTAGTGAGGACGTTGGTCTTCCAAGAAAAATGAATTGTAAGATCCCACATCAGTGTGAAAAGCTATCCGTAATAGATGCGTTTTAAAATCTTGAAATCCTCTCAAGAAACAATATTTATGTAATTTAAAGAATAAAAACAAGTTTATTAAAAAATTAGGTCTAATTGATTCTCGAACTCTAAATTTTGTATCATGAACATATTATAAACACAAACATAAAAGCTAACCAACCTAACTCATAATTTAACCAAATAAATGGGTAATAGAAGGGAAGCCTTGTGTGTCAAAGAGGTTAATAGAAGCTGTGGATGAGAAGAACAATTCATTAACGTGGAAAGAGATAGAGGGGGACGTTTTAAAGCACTTCAAGAGCTTGAGATTTATAATCCAATGTACCCCGAAGGATAAGGGAAGTGTTGCTCACATTACTTTGGATTATGAGAAGCTGCATGAAGGAATTCCAGATGCACATAGTTTTCTGCAGCTTTGTGCTGATACCGCCAAAGACATTGATGCTTACCTTATGGGATACAATAATGGTTCGCGTATAAGTGCTAAGGCATGAGCAACAAGTCTCTATCAACACCCCTAGCTCTTGGGTGGTACTATTACTATGTTGGAATAATAATTGGCTATTATACTATGTTGCTAATTAGTGTTTTATACTTAAATAATGCTCGTTAATACATATAGTATGCTGTGATTTAGCATGTTCCATGGCATCTTTAGTGGGAGATGATGTTTATTGTGAAATATTATAAGCTAAATCTTTGTATGCTTCTAATAAAATGGGAATAAAGTTTTTAAAATATGTGTGTTGGTGCAATAATTGTTAACATTGCACACTATTTTTTAGTATGCGTTTTTGTTGGATGAGTAGCTGTAACTATAAATTTTTCGATGATCGATTGTTACTTTTGATGTAGAAAAATATTAACTTATTAATTTCAATAATTTAAAATTACGGTGAGATCTCACATTTGTTGGAGAGAAGAATGAAATTCTTTATAAGGGTGTGGAAACCTCTCCCTAACAAATGCGTTTTAAATTCGTGAGGTTGACAGTGATATGTAATAGACAAAAACGGACAATATCTGTTAGTAGTAGACTTAAACAGTTACTATCATGCATTTCATTGAACTTAGATTTGAAACATTTCAATAAACATTCACATGCATGATGCTTTGAAAATTAGTTAGTATATATCAAAATATGAAGAGGTATAAATCGTGGTCGTGTAATGCATTCATTTCAACTATGCAACTCGTGCATGAGTAGGTTAGTTATAGGCTCTTAATTCATTATTAAGTCTCATGTTATTCATGTATCTTATATTGTTATTAAGTTTTATTTCGTAATTAATAATTTATTCACTCTCATCTTAGGATTCTAGCTTTTCAAGCGAATACTTCCTCATAATCAAGCTCCTCTCAGTTCATTCATCCTAATTTAGTCGTCTTCTCTCATAGCATAATGTACTTCCTCTTAAAATGTATCATAACTTTTTTGTTTGTGAGATACCCGAGTAAAGGAAGTGTACATGATTGAACCAGGACTAAATCGGTTGGGAGTTACAATTTATACCAATAAAATGCACTTTTCTTATTGTTGGCTCAATTACAAGAACTCTAAAGTTAAATGGATTTTACTTGAAGTAATTTTATGTTGGGTGAACTTGAGTGAATACAAATCATGTTGAATGGACCCGTGTTGGTCTATAGGGATATCCTTCACTCAAATTAGTGTGTAGGGACATTGAGAAGTAAGTACATGTCCATATCGCATGGAATGCCAAAAAATAAGCACCAGATTAAATGCTCCCTTTCATAATTTAGAGAGTAGTAAAAAATACTTTTCAAAAAGTTCCTATATAATATGTGCTTAAATTGATTCATATTGTAACGGTCTAGGCCCACCGCTAGCAGATATTGTCTTCGTCTTCTTTGAATTTTTCCTTTTGGACTTCTCTTCAAAGCTTTAAAACGCGTTTGATAGGAAAGGTTTCTATACCGTTGTAAATAGTGTTTCATGTTTCGTTTTCCTCCCCAACCAATGTTGAATTCTCACCTATATATAAATTGAGCATAAAAAATCAAATGAACTCAAAATATATTCAAACTCAAAATTCAAATTTAAAGGGGTTAGGGTCGAAGACAACATTCAAAAACCCAAAAGCAGTCAAGGCTCTTAAATAGATGAGATTTCTAAAAAAAAATTGAGATCTCGAAAAACTCTCTGAAACTCTTCAAGATCAAACATTCTCTACAAATCGGATGGAATATTTCGAGACTTTAAGCTAAGAACCGATTGAACGTCGAACATCAAACTAAAAGTCGACGAAGATTATGTGTGAACAATAGAGGAGTAATTAAGAGAAAGAATTTACCTTTGTCTTTTTTATTATCATTCTTATGCATGCACTACAATAATTTAAGAAAAATTTAAGGAGTGACCAAATTGATTAGGACACATTAGATGAGGTGGGATTTGTTACATTATAGAAGGATGGTAGCTTTGTTTATTTGAAATTAAATAAAAGACATCCATAATTATGTAAAAAAAGTCATTTTGAAAATAATGATCCATTCATAAATATAATTAATTTATATTTATATTTCAAGACATTTTTTCATATATATTAAGGACCATATTTTTGTGTGTACGACAGAGTTTGAAAGCAAAGATTGAAAGATCGTTTGAAAGTCGTTATATGACTATAAGCAGAGAAAGAAACACCACAACTTAAATATCATATAACATGGGTAGGAGAATTTGACAACTAGTCACATCTTCCTCTAATACATTTGGGGCGATTCAGGTCTGGCAGGCTTATACGTGATTTCATCAAACGATCATACAAAATCTAGGTGGGAGGAGTTAACGACTGATCGCATCCCCTCATAGTACATTTTGGAGCAATTCAGGTCTAGAAACCTAGACATGATTTCGTACAATAGTTATATAAACAGAAAATACAATACTAATTTAATAAAACATGAAAACAAATAAAGAGTTTGGCGTGACATGGGCATGCGTCCACGGACAACATGTTCTGAACGAGCATGATCGTGACACTCAGCATCTCAAACACTCTAATAATTTAATTTATGGGGTTTTTCGATCTTTAAAGTCAAGATAACATTCTATCACTAAAAAAAGAAATGTTTTAACTTCATAATGCAAAATTAGAAGAGAATTATGTATGAACATTAAAAAAATAGAAAGTTTGAATTAAAATGTATAACCTAACCCTTGCCTTAATTAGGGTTGTAGTGTTGTTTTATTACATTATATCATTTAAACCCACGTAATCAAATAAGTATTATTATAATAATAATGATAAGATTAAACTATACCAATATCCTTTGGAGTAACCCTTATGCCATCCATTCTTGCTATCATGTGCGTGAGACTAAGCCTTCGCTTTAAATTGAGCTTAATAGAGGAGGGAACCTTGGTAGCCATATCTATCTTTTATCTTAGTTGGGTTACAATTTGAGCCCCTCGTCCTTGTAACTCAACTCAATGTCTCTCTATGGAAAGTTAGGAGACTGATGTAGAAATTAAGGCTTCAATTGAAAAATTTCATGAAATAATTCATCTAAAACCTCACCATTTATCCAAAGTTTCTTAGGATAAAATACAAGGCATCGAGTTACATGAAGGCGAATGGGAAAAAGTTGGCAATATCCTCTATTGACACTACGTTCATAGTTTGTTCATCTTTGTTCATCTATTTGAAGTTCTCATTTCACATTTTAAGTATAAACTTTTAAAATATTTAAAGCTTTTTTTATCCTCATTTTATTTCTAGTTAAAAGTTATCTTTTAATATAAACTTATAAAACATTATTTCTACCCTAGGTTATCTTTTTTTTTTTTTTTTTTTT